GACATGTATGCTGGAGCTAAGACTCGGGTTAGNCTCGTCTATTGATGCAGGGCTTTACATGCTAGTTTTTACTGTACCAGCCATCTATTTCGTATTTCGTATTCTGTATTTCATATCTCCTATATTGCTGTTATTTTATTATGCATTTTTATGGTACTAATATATCGTCTCCTGTTGCTTTTTTTAGCCGAGGGTCTCCTAGAAATAGTCTCTCTACCCTTCGGGGTAGGGGTAAGGTTTGCGTACATATTACCCTCCCCAGACCCCACTTGTGGGATTATACTGGGTTGTTGTTGTTGTTGTTGTTGTTGTTGTTGTTCTTATGTGTCTAAACAACAGCAACAACTAGTTTGAGTATGAACTTCTTGACGATTTTATATGAGTATGAACTTCAGCTAACAAATGAAGCAACTATAAAGTATCCTACATAACTGATATGTCTTCTTAAGTAGAAAATTTACTTGCCAAATGAAAACATCAAGGCCATTTAACAATTGTCATCTAATATTTTTTTTACAAATGGAAAGAATGCGGGTAAGAATTAACTTCTTCCGTATCTTATGCCATAGTTTAATGTCTAGCAAGCAGAAACAGTATCTGAAAATAAAAACACCAACTAACTTTAGTTATAGCCACTAAGAATCACTAAGCTTGGAAAGTAGGTAAGGAACCCAAATTTGATGTTTCAAAATTTTGCCCTACAATAATAGCTGCACAATACTTTTTGCAGTCATGCAAAAAACCTAATTATACAAAATAATTTACACAAGCTAGTTACCTAAGATACTATGAGAAGGAAATTCAAAACACTGTTAAGAAATGGAGAGTATGTTGTCTAGATAAGGCCTATGTGCTCAAGAAATTTATTGAGTCAGTCCAGCTTCGGCAACATATAAAGATAATAATTATGTATAATAACTAAGCAACTCTAAAGATGCAGGTTAAACATGTAACTGAATACATACACGGTCATTATCCAGACAATAAACCCAACCAGTAATTTCAGGAAGTAATTACTGCAAGCTTTGAGAATCTTGCTCGACTAATAGATGAATAGCAGGTCTTGATAGAGTAAATGATTTCAAAGGTGTTGATTGTGTAAAATAGAAAATATTATCTCTTCCAATGATAAAAGTGCATAAGTAAGACATATGGAATATATCAATGAGCAAAGAAGGAGACATAAGTTAAATATGAGCAAAGTTCTAACGTTCCAATAACATGGCTATTGGCTACTAACTGACATATATTAAAGTACTCAACATTTCATACCTTTAAGATAGTAATCAGAAATAGTAGTTTGGTCCTGAGTGTTTATTTTAATTTGAGCAATTCATACACTCTTATTTATACCCAACCAGAAAGGCTAACTAAACAACTCAGACTATCCAAATCTTTACTTTGAGACAAAGAACGAAAAAAATCAAAGCTCTATAATTTACAGGTTATACATTAAAGATTACAGTCTGATTATCAGTTTATTGAAGCTCAGTGAAGTCAAACTTATAAACCTTCAAACAATAGAGCCGTAATAAAAGACCCAACACGATAGATCAGCAAACTAACTTTTTTAACTATGCGCTTACCTTGAAAGAGCAAAACGGAGTAGTGAAGAACGTCACCGAAGTCGTGAAGATGAACAAATTGTTTTGATCTTTATGCTCTGTGTTTCATAGAAACCCAGCTATAGAATCACAACAAAATACCTAAAAAGAACTTCTAAAACCAATGAGCTTGAGTTTTATACCATGCAAAGGATTATATGTTATTGGTACCTACTAAACCCAAACCAATAATAAGAAGAATAAGTTTTAGTCAAGATAAAAATGAACCATCAAATAAAGTGCTTATTTCATGACCAATTGGTTCTGGAATATATGAATTTTTTTTAGCTAAATAAGAACTGCAAGATTTATTCATATTAGGTTCCTATAACTATAAGTATGTATAGCTGCAATTAAACAAACTACAAGATGACATAGAAGTGGGTAAGCAGGCATGTCCAATGGTCCACTCTACTCTCAGTTACTATCGTTCTTCAAGTAAGAAAAATTTAAGTTTATGTCCTTGTCTCCATTATATAGGATGTGGAAAGGTATTCAAGAAGGAAAACTGCAGAGGGCAAGCTACCAAGATACAAAGTTCTATACTACAGGGATCAATACATCCTTAAACACATGACAACCAGCTTTAACCCAAACTTCATTNCAGCTTTAACTCAAACTTCATTCATATTCCAAGGCGAAACTTTGTCAAGTTCTCAGTTTCGAGTAGTAACAATTCCAAAGGGTATTGGCATGTGCAAATTAATATTGTGTGTAAATTTAAGTATCTCTAAAGCTAACACAATGAACATTACCTTTTTCAACTAAGAACACTTTTTGAATGATCTAGGACATGCCTTTGACACTTTTAAATAATGTTGCTTTATTACAATTTTTTATTGGCATCTCTAAAGCGTTGAAAAAAGTACAGAGTCATACTTAATCGCAATCTGAATGCCAAAATAATGAAAGTATAATTTCTTAAAATATTATTCTTGCGTAATATTCTCTCGGGCAGCTTATTTTTTTCGATTGTGCTGTAATATTTTACCATTTTGTAAGCCCGAACCAATATCAAAGTACCAGATACAACATAGCTGGGGAAAAACTTTTTAAACCCATGCAATTACCCTGATAGAGCAAAAGTGCAGCTGGCGAATGACGATGTTACCAGTGTTACAAGGAGATGACCAAATCACTATGTTATTCAAGGAAATCCAGTAACAGATGTAACCTTCGATTTTAATCTTTTTTGAGAATCTCAGTAGAAGTCAAAATTTAAATTTTGGCAAAACAATGTGCGAAAATCAAAGAGAAGAAAGTAGCAAAAACCAAAGAAAAACAGAGAGGAAACAAAGCAAATCAAAAGGATTTACTTTGGTAGAAGAAGCTTGAGCGGCGAAGAACTATGCGTCGAATATTGAGGAGAGAGAAAATTGTTCTTCAAACTCGGTAGCGGTGATTGCTACAACATAGGTAGAAAATGACCTACTACATCTGATCCGAATAGTTAACAACAAATAAGGACATAATAGACAATTTAAAGCAAATAGCACATCAAATGACCAGACTGCCCTTGTCATAAGCAGGCATGTTGACGGAGAGCTCTCTGCTATTCCCTCTTCTAAGAAGTAGGAATATGTGAATAAAGTTGAATTTGAGAACCTCATGGGTCCAGCTCAATTCCCTCCGCAATAATTGCAAATTGTGTGTGTGTGTGTGTGTGTGTGGGGGGGGGGGGGGGTCAATTAATGGATTGCTAGCATTAAGTGTAGTCCCATAGATTTCAAAGATAAATTGAGGTGTGCCATCAACCATTGAATCATCTATGGCCCTCACCCTAATTTTATAACTCAGATTTTTTTTTTAAAAATAATCTCAATTAACCGTAGTATGCTTTAGGCACGCCATTAAACTATTACAACTACGAGTACGGTTCTCGTGACGTGGTTGTGATAACTAGTTTTAAATTAGATTAAAAATAGGAGCACCTTTAATTTTGCCCCCTTCAAATATATACCCTTTTCTTTAAAATAATTTGAGGTGTGTCATGCTTAAAATTTATAATACATGGCCCTCACAAAATTAGATCAAAAGCTAACCCTTTTAGAAAATAATTTGAGGTGTGCAATACATAAATAAAATTCTATAATTTATGGACCTCATATAAATACAAAATTAGTTTTGAAATGCCTTGAACTTTCATAGTTTGCTTTAGGCGCGTTAATTAAATAATTATCATAGCTACGGGTACGGTTCCCGTGACGTAGTCGTGACGCTTAATTACTAAAATTCGGGGGGTACATTTATGTGACCCGATCACAATTTAATCTTTAAAAACTAAACATATTGTAGATCGTGGGTACGGTTCCCGTGACATGATTCGCAATATGTAATAATAATTATTAAAAGCGGTTATAAGGTTTAAAAAATGCACGATAGTTTAAAACATGTAATAAATCAGATAATTAGGCCAATTTTAATAGTTTAAGCGATCGTTCTAGAACCACGGAACCCGGGAATGCCTAACACTTTCTCCCGGGTTAACAGAATTCCTTACTTAGAATTTCTGGTTCGCAGACTTTTAAAATAAAGTCAATTTTCCTCGATTTGGGATTTTAAAAAATAAACCGGTGACTTGGGACACCAAATAAATTATTCCAAGTGGCGACTCTGAATTTAAATAAAATAATCTCATTTCGAATAATGTCACTTTAATTGGAAAAACTCCTTATATTACTCTCGGGTGGTAAAAAGGAGGTGTCACAATCGCCACCACTACCAATCACCACTAGTTACTACTCTGAACCACCACCATCAACCAAAACTACCACCAGCCACAGCCTTTAATCGGCATTCACCCATTAGCCATCACCACCACCAACTATCATATTTTAAAAAATTATATATTTTATTGATAAAATATTAGATTAATTAGTATTTCATTTGAATTTTATATTTTTAAATGAAATACTAATTAATCTAATATTTTATCAATAAAATTATATATTTTATTGATAAAATATTAGATTAATTAGTATTTCATTTGAATTTTATATTTTTAAATTTTCAAATAAAGATAAATTTTATACATTCAGATGTTAAAAATCAAACAGTCTTAACCATTTAGTATTCAGATCTTAATACACATCTTAATATTCAGATGTGTATTCAGATACAGATATCTTAATCTTAATAAACATTTTGATATTCATATGTGTATTTAGATTCAGACGTCTTAATCTTAAAAATATAAATAAATGAGGCACACACCCTATGAGTTATATTACTACTATTATAGAAGCGGCTAAGGAGAGGAGCTTGGGGTCGTTAGGGTTATTTTAGGAATACTAAAATTGTTTTAGGGTTATTTTGGAAATTGGACAAAACAAGAACTATTTTAGCGACAGACACGTGGTTTCCTGTTCTGACGCGTATTTTACCCTCAAAAAGATCGCCCCCACCCCCAAACTGGTTTATCGCAAGTTATACTGAACATCTCCCAAGTCGTTGCTTTTCCTTGATCTTCTCACTTCGTTGGAATATTGTGGTAATTATTTTTCTTTCTTATCTTCTACTGCTTCTACGAGGGCTTCCATCTTTCATAGGATATTAGGTTCCAATATTCAACACATCATCAAAAAGTGAAATATTAATCGTAAGTGAAATAGGGTATTAAACCCAAAGATAATAGTAGCAATTTATTCTTTTCAATTGGATGCCCTCCGAGGGGACACAAATTGCACAAGTTTCCATTAATATCATAAGGAGGGATTTAGGGATCAATATAGAGACGGTTGCAATTTCTAAAAATCAACTTCAAGTTTCCATTAATATTTTTTACATTTTCCTTTGAACTTCTTGTTTTAAACTTTAGTTGGGTTTTATTGGTTTTAGCGTAGTTCTGAGTTAAAGTTATGATTTTTTTTGAAGTTTTGAGCTATTTGGTTAAATGGGTTGGTTATTATTTCTTGAAATATTTAGTTGTGCTTCTTGGTTTGTGTATTACGTGGGGTTTTGATTAATTTTTTTTTCCTCCTAGAGTAAGAGATGAAATTTCCACTCCCAGAGAAAAGCCATGATTTTCTTTGGATTCTTTCTTTATCTTTACAGAAAATGAAGGATTACAGCAGCAGAAATTAAATACTTAGCAAGTATCATTTGATGTGTTATAACTTCATGTTTCACAATTTTTGAGCTATTCTCAGTTATACTTTTTCCAGGCATGTAAAATTTTCAAGGGACAACGATACACCAATAGGCTGGTCGAAAAGCTAATTACTGTGCTTTGATGGAGATCACATGTGAAAGACCAAGACATCATGAAAATTCGATTTTGATGTATTTATCAGTGATACCTACCTTTACTCTACTGATGGAATCACTGCTGCATATACAAACATAGCAAACTGGATTAGACTGAGATAGTAGGCCTTGAATTATTTCGATGTAAATTTCTTCAATTCAGACTGAGTCATTGTGGTTATATGACTGTTTATTTCCATACTTGGTGATCACATAATTGCAGTGGATACAATAATCTAACACCGAAGATTGTCCCAATGGATAAAGCATATGGATACAATAATCTAACACCGAAGATTGTCCCAATGGATAAAGCACCCTCTTATCCATTAAGAGCATTTATAAACACTATGAGTTGCTCGCATCTACCCTCTTATCCATTAATTCAATGAACCAAACACATGATGTTTCAGTTGCCAATTCAATATTATCTTAGAATAGATTTGCTGAAAATACCTTGTCATAAGACTTAACATGTACGACATCATAAATATTAGGTTGTTTCTCCATCTGTGCAAAAGCTTCGCTAATAGTTATTCCCGAAATATTTACAAGCATTAAGACATATCACATATATGATTAACTAAACTAAACTAAACTGCAACAACTACAATTCAACAAAAAGGCATCCAATACTGAATAACTAATCAATCAATTTAGAAAATAAAACATAATAAGACAAATTCATCAACTTATCTAACAATACATATTTCAAATAAGTTATTTAAAATTAATAGTAAATCTATATTTATATATTCCAAAAATTTGCTAAATTATGAAATTAAGGACACAACTAAAAAGACACTTTTCAAATAAGTTATTTAAAATTAATACTAAAATTATATCAGTATGTGTTACCATAAAAGTATATGCTTATACTATAAAAAGAAGGAGAAAGAGAAGCAATGAGGATAATTCGATATTTAGAAGAATATGCATGTCCTTTAAATTTATGTTTCACAAGATTGACAAGATATCCATATAACATTATCAACAATGGTTGTTAACATCAATTACTTTAAGAAAAAAAATGAAGGAAGTTAGTCTGTGGAATATGTAGTTCATATCATATGAATAGAACCGCCTGTATAAATTTATCCAGGCAAACACATTAATTGTTTAATTATTTTTTCCTTTATGTAGTAATATTATATATTTATTCTATAAATTTCTAACACGATTATATGGAAGGAATGCAAAAGGGAATTGTGACACGTAATTCATGGTGGATTGGAAGAGAGAAAAATAACAATAAATTATTAAATGTGAATGAAGAAACTTGAAACTTGATCTTATATTTATGCTCCTCATGACTTGAAACTCTTCTTGTGCGGATTAAATTATCTCTTTGATTTCCAATGCAAGATACATGAGATTACATATCTAGTATGAGGACATTTTTTTTGTTTTTGCAAATAATAACATAAAGAAGGTAAAAACCATACTTGTTACTTTGTTCTGTTAGACGGATGATACTCATCGAGGTCTCCATCCTTCATGTAGGTTAAAGAGTTGCTTTCTTCAAAACAAAAAGTTGCCACCGTTTCATTAAATGACTTCATCGTAGGCGTGAGTTTTTATAGCTGTTTATAGCCATTTATAGGATATTTAAATTATTTAGACGGGTATTTTGGTAATCTAACTTTTTAACTATGGACTTCCCACTTTTAATATTTAATATTATTGAGTTTGCGTATGAGGATTTTTACAATATTAGTACATTTAATCGGCTATAGGAGCTTAAATCTCTATTTTTCAGGTTCACATATCAAGTTTGCAATGAAATTTACATGTTGTCGAAAATTAACTTAAACTGTTTTTTGTTAAAAACCTGTACATTCATATGCCTAGAACTTAAACTATATTATTCTTATTATTACTCCCTTGTTTCAATTTGTTTAAACTTATTTGACTCGACAAAAAATTTAAGAAAAAAGATATTCCTTCCTTTTCGATTTATGTGAACCTGTTTGACTAGACACAGAGTTTAAGAAAAAATGAAGACTTTTAAAATTTGTGGTCCTAAACAAGTCAAAAAGAGGTCCAGAGAATTTGTGTGGTTATAAAAGCTTCTCATCAAGGGTAGAATTATAAGCGTAAGCAAATTTTTTTTTCAAATTTAGAAAGGATCATTCTTTTTGGAACGGACCAAAAAGGAAATAGGTTCACATAAACTGGAACTGGAACGGAGGGAGTAAGACTTTTAAAACTTGTGGTTTAAAATAATTCATAGATATATGTGTGACTATAAATCATCTCATTAAGGGAAAATAAAACTTTTAAATTATTTTAAATTTAGAAAGGTTCCATTTTTTGAATTAACTAAAAATGAAATAGTTTCATTCTTTTTGAATTTGGAGTAATTATTATTATAATTAATTATTAAAGCTATTGGTTGTGTCACGTGATTCTCACGTGCGCAGATATTTTTTAAACATTTACCAACACTAGCTCAACAAACTGAATAATCAAAACCGAACAACATTACTGAGTACTAATCAAATCGATCAGTGTTAAGATCTGCAATGGCTCAGTCTCAGGTACCTCAAATAGCAATTCTTGGAGCTGGCATATTTGTCAAAACTCAATACATTCCCAGATTAGCTGAAATTCCTCACCTCTTTGTTCTCAGAGCTATTTGGAGTCGCAGTGAGGTAATTAAACTTATTTCTTGAATTTTTATGGAAACAAAAAATATTCTCCATTTGTATGGATTTGTTTGTGGATTTTAGTTTCTGGGTTTTGATAAAAATTGGAACTTTATCTAGTCTAGCTGTGGAATTATTTAATTATTAGTTTTAGTTTTTGGGGTTCATAAAAATGGGAGCTTTGTGTGTGGAATATTGTTTTTAGGTTGTGTTATCTAGAATTAATAATAAATCCCCTTTCCGTTTCATGGATTAAGATATCCAGATATGATAAAAATTTACAGCTTGTTTGGATGGTCGTTAACTGTTGTATTGTATCGTATTGTTACTTTAAATACGATATTTGTTTTGATTGTTACTTACATTTTATTGTATCGTATCATTAAATCTCTCGATACATGACGACGAAATGTGCCACTTTATGTAACGATCGATTTAGTGTGGCTGCATCATTACCTTGTCTTTTTCTCCCAATCTCACACTTAATTATTGTTAAATAATTTTATTTTATTATTTAACCTACTTTTTTATATGATAATTTTATCCCGTATCATAATTTTTCTTTATAATATTGCAAGTTTATTCTTCCTATTGCTGGTTTGTGATATCATGAAACAACGACAAACGACACAATCTATCCAAACATTATATTCATCAAACGATATAGTACAATACAATACAATACGATATATTATGAAACGATATGTAACAACCATCGAAACAATACATTAAGTTCTATGCAGTGACGTTGTAAAAATACTTAAAATTGAATTACAGGTAACTCTATTGCTAAATAACCTGCTATAAAAGGTTAAGTTACACTGATAGTTTAATTCATTACAGTGTCATTGTACATAAATTAAATCCGTATGAAAAATTGGAAACAATATGTAGTCTACCGCTGTTGCATTTTCCTTGGCAGCAAGAATTGGTTTGTTTGGAAACTATAAGTTATACACTATAAAACTTTTGCTATTTGCACACATTTGTTAGTGGATTTACTGACTAAATTTGATAAAAATGTAAACTTTATGTAGTCTAGTGTAGCATTTTTCTTGAAAGTGAAAATTGCGTTGTGGAGAAAATGCAGGATATTTTGCTAGTGGTTGTTTGCCGATTTTAGATTGTGGGATAAAAATGTGAACTTTATGTAGTCTCGTTGGTGCGTTATCTTGAAAGTCCGAATTAGATAATAACTGGGTTTCTTTGTGTACCTTTCTCTGAAGTAGTTGTTATTCTTAGTCGTGATTGTTACCTTTATGTTTGTTAGGAATCTGCCAGAAGTGCTGTTGAAATAGCACGGAAGCATTTCCCAGATGTGGAATGTAAGTGGGGAGATGCCGGGCTTGAAGATATCATTAAGGATAGTTCCATTACAGGTGTTGCCGTTGTTCTTGCTGGACAAACCATGGTATATCTCTCTCGTTTGTCTATATGCTTGTATATATCACCAAGTTCCATATACATAAAGTAATTAATGTTAGTCGCGTGTATCTTATATCCCTGTCTCTATTTCATTTCACGTCAAGGAGGTAATCATGGAGTAGGAAAGGAAGTATCATTCATTTTCTTTTTTCTGTTAGTATTCTGTTCAAGTAAAAGTGCATGGATATGTACAAGGAAAAACTCAGTAGCTCTTTGTAAACTTAGGGAATGGGAAATACAAGTAATGCGCCAGTATCATATAATTTAGCTTCTTACACTCGAGTGCCAGAAAATATAAAACATCTGTGTTTAAGTCTATGCGCAGGTTCAGCTTTCCCCTGAAAGCATCTTTTGTTCCTTTCCCACCCAGAGGCGTATCTAGTGTAAAAGCTATGGGTTCGGTTGGGTTCAACCGAAACATAGCTTTTGCTCATACCCTATATTTTTGCCTAGAAAATCATTAAATATGTACAAACAATAAATTTTGAACCCATTAAATTAGATTGAGATGTGGTAGAATTGTGAATCTGAACGCATAAAATTTAAATTCTGGATCCGCATCTGCTCCCACCAGATAACCCAAAATATACATGTAGGAATAGAATTTCATAACTTTCTGAGTTCCTTCTTCGGTTTTCTGCCATACCAGCCCGACAAAAGCTCTTAAGACCTTAACCATATACGGCACATATTCCAGATCTGCAAAACCACCCTACAGACCTACACTGTATCAAAGATGATTAACTTCATCTGTAAGATTACACATACAACATCTGCTGCCTAATTTAGAACCTCTTCTGAAGGTTATTTTGTGTCAAGCACGCTTCATGGGTTGCTGTCTAGCAGAAACCAACCACTTTTGGGGGATATCGCAAATCCAAATAAATTTCTATGGCCAATATGATTGCTGGGAGGAGGGGGGTTGGATACTATCT